TCTTTAGGATCAGTGGGCCTAAGTTCAGGCGTGAAAGGTTGTGTTAAAAACTTTTCAACACGTGAATGTATGCGCCCTTGAGTAACCGGGCGGTTACAGTAGGCGTCGTTATTAGGAATGAATTGAGTAGCAAGGCTGTCGGATAAGACTTCTGCCTTTTCAGTGTCTGTGTAAGCCATCCGTGCGTCATCGGCCGTTTGAAGGGGCGAAATGTGTCTGGATTGTTTGCGTATTCGAGCGGCAGCCGGCCAAACCGAATTGTCTTCAGTCGTTAAGGACTCAATGTAGTGTTTCCACTCCGTCTGTTTGAAAAGACGGGTTTCAGTCCTTATCCCGTTCTGTATTTTGCGAAATCGGACGCGGATACTGGGATCACGCGACCTTTGCCAAAGTTTTCGCAAAAAGTTCCGCTGCTTAATTTTGGATTTAGTCTCAGGTGGGAGTCTGACACCCGGATAGAAAATTGGTTTTGAAGCCGCAGCTCTCGCTTCTTTGAGTAATGGACTCCAAATTTTAGTAAACTGCCTGTCAAAAGTCCGAATTGCTGAGTAATTTGGATTGGGGAAGTAGCAGTACGTTCCAAAATAAATCTAAAGTCGTCCCAATTTGTAGAGACTTTGCTCCTGTAATTCTGAGTAACGATTTTGGACATCTAGGGTGATCAAAATAGGATAGTGATCAGAAGTCAAGGTCTTGAATCACTTTGATTTCGTGCCTAAAGAAAATGACATTATAAAAGGCAGCCAGATCAAGAACTGCAGGACACCCTCTAACAGGGTAGAAAGTCTTGAGGGTAGGAGCTATGATCTGTATATGGTTTCTCTGGCACCATGAATTTAGACTAATGCCATACCTGTTCTTGTTAGGGCAAAACCATGCGGTATGACGTGAATTTAGATCACCAGCAATAATTAGGTGATTTGATAATGATAAAAGTTTATCAAAATCACTGACAGGAAAAGTACCTCTTCCACGTGTAGTTGATAGTGGAGGCAGGTACGCCGAGAGGACTGTTAGTGGGGGAGAATTTTGGAGGAAAATTTTGATAATTGTCGCTTCCAAAATACTTAAATCAGGAGGGGTTATCATGTGATGCTTAGTCGAACGCTTCACGTAGATACAGGTGCCACCACTTGCACGCCTGGCTAATGACACCCTGTCAGTCGAGTGCATGTCATAATTCCCAATTTTGGGAGTTCCCATCCTACATTTTCCAAAACTGTTATCTACTCAGCTATGGATGCCTCACTTTGTAATTAGTTTTACGAAATTCAAAGTGTAAATTTAGATGTTCTGCTGTATAAAAAATGTCAGCGATGAAAAAAATAATTTGAAATTTTCTCAGTAATCCCTATTGCATTTTTTTGTGTTGATTACGGAAAAAATAACGAAAAAAATCCATTGTGGCTTACTTACAAATCACACATTACGTTTAAACTTTTAAAGCTTTTCTGAGATACATATAAACTACGTATTTACGTACTGAACTACGTACCAGTATTTAAAAAATTATGTAATATTAAACTACGTCCAGTATTTAAAAATATATGTAATATTAAATTTATTAAATCTCTATCCTCATAAGTTAACGTAACAAAGTAACCAGTGTAAGTTGAATAGCAACATGACTCAGCCTTTCTTTTTCTGAATAGGCGGTACATCAAAACTAGTAAAATGCGGTTCATATTAGGCAAGGCCAGCTGTCATACTCTCAGTGTAGATCCAGCCATTGTCCATTACAAACTTACATTTTTTTTTTTTAAATGACACTTTTCAGTTTTGAAAAGAAATGGCTTCTATAGGATGAGTCGATTCTCCAGATTGTTTATTCCACATTTGCGGGACTTACAGTTGGAAAGCATCAAAGAAACATTTCTCGTTTTGTAAAAAAAAAAAAAAAAAAAAAAAAAAAAATTATTTTGCTTAATTTCGCATAAAGCCGGGGAATCAGGAATCAAGTTAAAACTTAGGCTCCTCAAAAAGTGTGCTCTGCGCGTGTTGAAGAATTAAGACAATGGTTTCAAGGTAAGAGAAACCATTCCTTGTCGGAATACCTATGATTTGGAGGGAACCTAAAAACCATAGTAATGTTTGTTATTTTTGTTTTGCTATGTGCAAGATTACAATTTAAAAAATAAAAAAGGAGATTGCATTTTTTCACATCCCTTCAGCTATTTGCTTTATTCATCATAGAATTGATTTATAAGTCTCTCTCTTCTAGATACTGAAAAACATTTTAGAAGGCAGAGATCCATTGTCACATGTCAGCGGTAATGATGATAGAGAGGACTATTATGATCCAGACAGTAATAGGCCTAAACTTTTAACTCAATCTGAATTAAAAGATTTAATAAGAGATCTATGCTTTTCAAAGGCTTCTGTCAGAGGTTTTAGGGTCAGGATTAAAGGAAAAGCAGTTTTTGTATACTTCCGAGATATCGTTTTCATAGCACCGCTATCAAGAAAAAGGATTTGTGCCTTTTTTTCCTCAAGAGGGTGACCTAGTTTTTCGTCACACTATTCCTGGATTGATGGAAAACTTCAATATCATGTAAAAACCGGAAGATTAGAGAATCTTCATTGATTCATGTAAAACAGTTGTAGTCACCCTTTTTATACCTATCGCCCACTTTGTAGGCAGTAAAATTTCTATACCGCCCACCTGTTCACAGTAACTTTATATAATGGAACTGCAAAGAAGTTTTTAAGGGGTGGTTTAGTAAAAAATACATAAAGTTAAGTTTAGCAATGTATTAATACTATAATTTACAGTGTTAAACTTCTAATAGACGGGTAATTCATTAACAAACAACAAAGCCGTATAAATATATGGAATCAGGAGAACACTGCGCGAAGGGGAAATGTCAAGTTGAAAACTAAACTTTAAGGTGTGTGTGTATATATATCTATCTATACATCCAGTGCATGTTTCGATCTTCTTTGATCATTACGGACAAGAACCTCCACCACCCACCGTGAAAACTTGGATCGCTCACTATTCGGCGGTAGGGATCAGGCTCACTATTCCTGATTTAAAAGGAGCCTAAAAGCAGCCTTTCTTCATTAAAGCAACCAATATGCTTCTGTACCTGTCAGATATTCACATCATTTGTAAGAATGTTATAAAAATCTCAAATTGGTCCTCAGCAAGCTTGGTTACTCCGATCGTAACTGAACGGTTTGCGATGATTTTAAAGTAATTTCTATGTTACTAGACCAACAGAGCGGCTACACAAATGCAGAGAGAGAGGGGGGGGTTCCCATACTTCTTTTGAGAATGGGATAGTCGTTGCCAAAAACAATATTATATTAAAAAAGAATGTCCACTAAGAAAGGGCCTTATTCGTGAAGATAAGAATGTTCAGAAGAAGATTTTAGTGAATCGTAAAAAGATGTTATTCATTTCTCATCAAATTGGGTCTCATGACACTACTTGCAAAGCATTACCTAAAGAAGGAGAGCACTTTTGATATCTTTGTGAATAGTTTCTGGTTTTAATGAAGGCAAAGTTTAAGGAAGGTGTATTTGTTGGGTCCAAAGGTGTATAAGAAAACTTTGAGTCAAAAATGGAAAATTTTAAAAGAAACCTGGAAGTCTTTTAAGCCTGTGGTAACCAGCTTTCTTTGATGCTGATTTAGTGGAGAATTGAAAATAATTTGGCTGAAACGTGAGTGTAAAAGCTCATTTCCTTCATTCACACCCTGAGTATTTTCCTGGAAATTTTGGAGCTGTGAGTGAGAAGCAAGAAAATGTTTCATCAAGAGATGAAAGAAATGGAACGAAAATATCAAGGGTGATGGAACGTTAACATGATGGCAGACTATTGTTGGATGTTAAGAAGACAAAATTCTCATATTCACAACAGTAAAAGTACAAAAAGAAATTCTGATTGAAAGCGACGATGCTTCTACAAAGATTTATAATCATGTAATATACTTTTGTCACTCCTTTGTTAGTTTAGTAAATATTTTTGTATTTTTTATGTCGCTAACAATAGTAAAATTAAAATAAGCATGTATAAAAATTATATTTTAGTTAATTTTCCTTAAAAGTCTAATCTTATTTTGCAGACAAATCTTATGTGACAGAAAGAAGAAACAAATGTCACTTTTGAAATCAGCACCAAAAACTACATAAAACCACTTAACTAAACTAATACAATTTTTTTTTTTTTTTTTTTTTTTTTTTTTTTGTAGAGAGTTGATATAGAAGAATGTTTTAAATATGTAGTTCTGAATAGGAACGTTTAAATAGGTTTTTAGGTAAGATTTGAGAGCATAGTAAACACAAATGACATAAGTCATTATTTAAAAAAGAAATGACATTTGTTTTACAAAAAAATTAACATGATAAAGGTGTTAATCATTAAGGCACTTTTTTATTTTACAGCAGAAGATGCGAAATGCCCTCGCCATGACTCGAATTCCAGAACATCCGACTGCTACCTGGACGCGCATTTCAGTTGCAACACAAAGGCAAGGGAGAAAAACCTTACGCAGTTAGTTTCGAGGATTAAGAAGTCTCGAAAAGAAGTTATCATTGGATGAAATCACATAGAAATATGTTTCGTGGAGAACGTTTTAAAGAAACAAGTTCATATTCATATTAAACACAGGAAAATTTACAAAATTCCGACAACCACCCTAATCTAACTCAGCTACAATTTAACTGACAGCTAAATAAGAAAAGAGCTACGCATGGTTCACTGCTATTACTCACACATTTGGCTATACTTGATACCGCCCACCAGCGGCCGAGCGGTAAAGGTCGCTGAACGCTGGTAGTTCGGTCCGAGGTTCGAATCCAGCGAACGGGCTGGCTGCATGGGCGTTTTTGTGGTTTTCCCCATTTTTTTTGTTTTTGTGGTTGTATACGAGCAAGTTTCCCTTATAAAGTCCTCCACGAAGGCATCCCTTCCCTTAGGCAGATAGCCCTCGAGGCTTTGCCATAATCACACACATAATTATACTTGATATCAATTAAAGAAACAACTATAAAATAGAATAAACTTTATTTCTGACTTTAAAAGCTCAGGTAATTATAAAATACAGGGATATATAAAAATGAACATGATCTAAAAAGAGACATGAATCCCTAAAATCTTTGAAGTTTTGAAAAGCTGCTTTATGGTGATGAGATAGAAGTTATTCAAAGTTATGGAAATTATTGTTTTCTCCACCGGCTATTGGTTCAGTTTACTGAAATATTTGTTTCCTTATTTTCTGAGTTCACATTTATTCTGAGTTCACATTTCTGAGTTAAAACACACTGAGAATAAAAATGGATATGAAGCATATATCTCTTCCATTTGACAACACCTCATAATATAGCTGTGTAAAATCAAGCTTTTCACCGGGCAGAATACTAAGGCAAAGAATGAATTAGCAGTCTTCAGAACATAGATTCATATCTTCATATAAAATCGTAAATGTTCGTTATGAATATTATTACTGTAGTTCCACTGTAACTTGCCAATTCAATGGAGATGCTGTTCAGACAGTTTCATAGTTTATATAAACTATTTCTGTATCACCAAATCTTCTTCCTTCGGTACTTTAGGCTCAGATTTGTTTTTAATACTAAATCCGCACTGAGACGTAGTTTTCATTTTAGTTACCAAGGTATAAAAGCAGTCTTTTCTCGATATAAGAGTTTGTTTTCTGGATACAGTCACCTTACTCCATTAACTTCTTGGCACCATAGAAAACTTCAAACTGTTCCTTCATACCCATGTGAAAACTGTCATATTTCCTGTTTTGTAATCCTCTGAAACAGACAAAATGTATAAATGAATGAAACATAAACATAAGAATAAAGAAAATATTTTTTAATTTAATTAATTTCCTGTTTTAATTATAAGAAATGATTTAGAAAAATTGCACAACTATCATCATCATCATTATTGTTATTTTATGTGCTTAGAAATCTTCAAATACAGTATACCCTCACGATAATTGAACCCGAGATATTTCGGTTGCCTCTTAGATGCAATGACCAACAAAGATGGAATGTCATAAAATTCTAAATGCAGTTTCAATAACTTTCAAACTGTTTCAGAAAATGATCAAATGGAGAGAAAAGAAGAAAATGTAAAATTTTACTGAAAATAACAGCACCTTAAACAGAAGGGCACAGAATTTATATTTTTTGTTACATATTTAATTCATTTAAAATCAATTAAATTCATTTAAAACCGACAGAATAATAAAGTGTTTGAAAAAATTACTCTATAAAAATGATTTTTCATTCTTCTTATAAATGGAACATCTTATATACTTTTCATTATTATTTAAAAAACATTTTCTTATCACATTTTTTGTAAGAATTGGTGAATATTTAATTCCTATTTCAGCAGTGGATGAAACTTGTATCTTGAAGCATAATTCCAGAAATCTGGGCTTTTCCAGAAATCTGGGCCTGATTTTTAATTTCCAGAAATCAGGGCTGGTTTCAAAAATTGGGATAGCTGTTCCTACAAATTTGTAGAGCCATTAGGATTTTTCAATCAGGAAACACGAAAAATGAGCAATGTCCTCCCCGGGACTCGAATCTGGACCTCTCGAATACGCACCGAGTGTGCTACCGTTACATCACGAAGGCATGCAGAAAGTATAGGGAGAAGATACCTTTTAAAATCCCTTTAAATTACCCCTTTTAAAGAGCTACTGGGAATATTTTATTTATCCTTTATTTTATTTTTAAAATACCTCTTTTAAAGAGCGACTGAGGATTAGAGGACCCAGTCGCCAAGTAAGTCCTGGTGTTTAAGAATCATCATCTACCACCTTTTAGTTCGGGCGCCATTGTAGGGTCATTAGGCTATTTTGATGCGGGAGACGTGAAAAATGAGCAATGCCTTCGCCGAGACATTAACCTGGACCTCTCGAATACGCGCCGAGTGTGTTTCCAGTTACACAACGAAGGCACACGAAAAGGAGGGAGAAAATTGTTGAAATTGAAAGTTGTATGTAGATTATTACAAGCTTTGCTTAAACGTTTTTTATATTTTTATTTATACAAAGTATTTTTTTATTCCTAAAAAGAAGCAAACTCTTTTTCTTATATATAACTTTGAAAGAACACACTGAAAACCAAAAATGAATTTTTCTTCATGCATGATTTGTTTTAATATAACGCAGGTTTGATCGCTAAGATCATCAAAATAAAATCTACCTTAAAATGAAAAACATAAAAGTTTTCTATTTTTTATTCAACTCAATGAACAAAAATTCTTTTTTCTTTAAACTTAATTAGAAACATAAATAATGAATAGAATAACAAATCATGAATAAAAATTGTCATAAAATGTAGAGAACTTCATAAAATCTTATTAATACGAATATAGCTAAATCACGTTTTGTTCAGTTTTTGTAGTTACAATTCATTGTATAATTTTTTTTGGTATTAGTGATACATTATTATTTTATGTAGGAAAGCTAGTTAATTTATATATATTTAGATACCTAGTTTATGACACGTAAATGTATTAAAATGATTTAAAAATCAAATTAAAAATTTCTTAGAGATTCTGATATAACTTCTTTTAACACAACTTATTTCGTTTTCACGTTTAAATGTCTTTTTTTTTTTTTTTTTCCAAGTTTCGTACATACCTTTTCTGTATAGTCATTCTGTAACGTAATCGGTCATTTGTTTTCGGGGGGGGGTTCTTTTTGCGGTAATAATGGTAAGAAAACCAAAAATCGGACCAGTTTGTGGCTAACTTTCGAAGATTATTCATTGTTTGGCAACAAGCTTTCGAGTTGTCGTCGATGGAATTCGGTCGCTAGAATGTGGCTGACTTATAACTAACTGCTTTAATAATTATTTTTAATTTGAGCTACGTTATCGAATTATTATTAGATGTTTATGTATGGATATTTAAATATTATATGCATACAATTTGATTTGTATAAAGTGGGAGTAGTTGAATTTGTTAAAGTTATATCAAAAACGAAACTTTTCATTTGTATATTGGCACCATTTGATAAACGGCCAGTAAACACTTGGTTTTGCAATGTGGTATTTGAGAGAACGTTTTTCCTTGCATCCCTAAACAAAAGCAAGAAACGGAATGTACTTCTTCTGACTGCTGGTATGAGAATCCTAGTATAACTAATCTTCTGAAATAAATATTATAAAAACTCTGTAACGGATTCAGAATATAAAACCCAGTTAAGTTATCAAGATTTGTAACACTGATTCCATTCTTCTCAGTTTATATGATTACGATTATAATATAGCCCTGGAACTATGTTTTATAAAAAAGAAGTCTATGAGTCAACCGGGAGCCATTTTTTTTATGACTTTAGAATGCAAGGGCTGCAACCATAAACACAGTTAAACTATTTGGTAGAACAAAAAGTTTAAGATTTCTCAATATTTTTCATTTTTAGAAAAGAAATTTGATCCTATTGTGCCTCGAGATTTCTCAAAAACGTTTTCGATAATATTTTATACAATCAATTAGTATTTAGTTTTTTTGTAAGCTGATAAACCAAAAGTCAAAAAAAATTTTTTTTTTTTTTCTGTTTGCTGCACTTTTTCGATTTTTATTGAACAAGTATTATATTTCATATTTATTTATATAAAAATAAAAAGAATTCGAAAAGCTTCGGATTTCATTCACGGCACCATACCTCCTTTTCCATTACACATTATCTTTTTATTAAGGAAAACGTTGTACTAAATATTTTATAGTATTTATTTAAATGAAAATAACTATGAAAATAATTGTTTTATTTTCAACTGATGTTACTATATGTTGTAAGTTATATACTTTTTTACTTATTCTGTAAGCTATTTTTTTTTATTTATTTCAATAAAAATATTTGATGTAGATACCACATGACTTCCTTGTACGGCTTATTAAATTATACACATTTTTTTTTGCTGCGCTTAATTTAAACTTATTTCTTGAAATTTCATTAGAGATATATTTCTCACTCCATCAATTCAGTTCTCACTTCCCGGCAACACTAAATAAAAACTAAAAACACCTTCACTAAAAATTACAAATATAGAAAGACCTAAAACACCAATTACAGTTAAAAAAAACAATTTTTACAACTGAAATTAGAGTTTCTACACAAAAAGCAGTAGTTCTGCTAATGGGCAGGAAGACAGCATTTTCGGCATATAAAACTGAAAGCTAACTCTTGGACCCGCTGTGCAATAAGACACTGAAGTTGGTGCACCAAATGATTTAATTCACTATTCTACTATAAGTTTCAAATGTAAACGAATGGGAACCTCGTTAGGCCTAGCGCCATTTAAACTTTTAAACTGTTGATAATTCTATAGCTATTGTCTGCAGAATAACTAAAGGCACAAAAACCTTAACCGGAGCATCACAAGAATAACATAATTCAACCACTGTTAAAAAAAAAAAAAAAATGAATGCAAAATTTACCAATACTATATAAGAATAAAGGAATTGAGCTCACCAAGCAGAGTAACATAGTGGATATGGTTAGGTTATTTAATTACGGCAAAGCCTCGAGGGCTATCTGCCTAAGGGAAGGGATGCCTTCGTGGAGGACTTTCTAAGGGAAACTGGCTTGTATAAACGTTACACATGGGAAAAACCACGAAAACGCCCATGCAGCCTGCCCGTTCGCGGGATTCGAACCTCGGACCGAGCTACCAGTGTTCAGCGACTTTACCGCTCGGCCGCTGGTGGACCCCAAAGTGTATATATATATATATATACTAAACATATAAACACCCACATATATATGTGCTTATAAGATTAGTGTGGCTGATTGCGATGAAAAGGGGAGGTACATGTTATAGCAGTCCCATATACAGAATCTCTATGTTCTACCGCTAGTCGTTTTTGAGTTATGCGAGATACATACGTACGTACGTACAGATGTCACGAAAAATTTCTCTTTTGAATCCATTTTAAATCCATTTTACAATCCCTTTTGAGAAAAGAGTCCTTTATTCTGTCTGTATATGCAGATGTCATGCGAAAAAGTCATTCTAATAGATTCGAGATCGTTCAAAATGTGTATTATCGTTGAAATATGCTACACGAAATTTTTTGCCTTTACAATACTTCCTTTACTGTGTACAAATAAGTGAAAAATCAGTACCTTTCCGTTTCATTTAAATAAAAAGAACAAAAAGCAAGCACATAAAGGTTTAAAAAAAAAAAAAAAACCTGATTTAGAAATTTAATAATTTTGTTTGGTTTAAATTTTAGGTAATAAATAAAAATTACATATTTCTAATGCAAAATGTTTCATATGAAGAGATAAATTATGACATTATCTATTTCATTTAAATTAATTCAGATTAAGGAATAATTTTTAGTAATAAGTTTTGGTTTATCTGCAGAGGCTTGAACAATTTTATTGGTTTTTTTTTTTAATTAATGTAAAAATATTTGAGGTATTGTAGAAATCGTCGGCTTATCGAAAAATTCTGCAGGGAACTTAATTGTTTTCCCGTAAACTATTTTTGCAATAGAATATCCAGAATATTCTTTCAAGTGTTGCCCTAAATTCTATCTTCGTTCAGTGCTGCTCTAAGATCTATTCCAGCAATCTTTTGATTGCTGGAATGGATTCAGATCACATAATAGAAATGACATTTGATAACAACTTTTAAAGTTCGATGAAATCTCTGAATTTTGCTCTTGCACTAAGTAGATCAGAAATAAACTGCACTCCGCGATCCATAATAATTTGGTAAGGACCTTCAAAAGAACAAGCCAGCTTTCATAAAAAGATTTTGCAACGGTTTTTGCTGTTACGTCA